CCCATTTAGAAGAAAACGGCGTATACTAGTCAATTATAGATTATCATTCAATCGAATTAGTGTGACTTACCCATTGCGACCGACGTCTAATACTTAATTGTGAGCTTGCCAGCGCGCGCATGCAATAAATATATGTTACCTTCTGTTCCACGTGTCCCTAGGGAAGCATGCATGTATGCATATATGCGTTCGAACAAAAATTTAGATTTAGGCCGAAAACGGAATTGAAATGGATATATTTAAAACAGTATATTAAGAAATTAGAGAAATTTTCTATATAATAATATTTAAATCTTTCAGATATTCACCGCTAGCAATGCAGTAATATCGAAATACATTACCTTTGCGAACTTTACATAAATTATTGCTTACATGTTCCAATATACGTAACGAACCAAAACAAGACTTGGATATTAACTAACGCTTAATTACATAAATATGAATAAAATATACAACAAAATAATTGTGGGGATATGGAACAATAAATTAGTGTTATTTTCAGGGTATTAATTGCATGGGTTTATTCGAGACTGATGTTGAAACTAATTAAAACTAAAGTTAATTCAGTCTAAAATTGCACAGCCGCATGGGGTTAAATAAATTTCTAAATCAACAGTGAAAGAGTAGATATTCCAATGGTAAAAAGATATTTTAGTCATAGAGTAATATAGTTACAAACAGACAATCTCTGTTACAAATAAACATGAACTTCTCAGGAATTTCTCCAATATAATTAACAAACACTTTTTTAATGATATCAATAATTTACACTCAACATAACAGCCAATATACTATTATAATGATATAAACTGGAAGATGCTATTTTTGGTGTACAGGAAGGTGGGTTACAGTAAGCACGTTACATTGTGTCTACATCCAATTAAATCAATATTATAATTTGCTAAAAGCAATATTTCTACTTCCTACACATTGCATGAGTCTGATGTTAAAGATGTAATAAGGAATGATGAATGTTAAAAAATGGGGTAATGATGTTAAAAATAGTTTGATGGCAACGGTATATATAAACGATTATCTTCCCGACAGTAACACAGTACATCAAATTTGGGGTAAAATCAAAATCAATCTAATTAAATCAATTCATCCAAACCGTTGAAATTACAATCAAGATGTGGATTATTTCAAGAGCATTTTCATGGCGTCATATTATTAAGATCAATGTAAGTACACTTAATTCGACTAACGAAAGTTATAAAACTTTGTAAGTTCTCTCGCAATTTATTTTCAGAATTCCGTGCAGTGTTTATATAATTTCCTGATGGTTATTAAAAAAAGTATAAATTTACAATGACGTACACCATCACATTAAATATTTTAAATACAATACTTATTAGTATATCGGTGTGATTTGAATGGTTGAAGATCACTAAAATAATTTTTTATACATGAACATTTTTTGTGCATAGCATTTAATAATATGCTTCTCAGTGAGATATTGTAGTCGCGAAAGGATAATTGGTTTATCCAAATTTGTAAAATATTTTGAGATACTGCATGTTCGCCTATGCCATGTTCAATGACAGTGTTGAACGCTTAAGGCTAAGCACGAAGTTACTTAGCTATAGTTGATTAATTTTGTTGCTTATACGCGAAATTTAAGAAACCATGCACTCTCTCGACTGTAATCTTTCATTTGCCGCAAAAAATAAGCCAATTATATACATAGCTACATTTGAATATATTCTTAAAATTAAAGAAAAATCAACATTTTTCTTGCAACTTGCAATGCAATTATACTTTTAAGGGATGTAAATTTGGAAACTACGAAACGTTTATGTCTATTTCTCTCTATTTACGTTTCTTGCTTACACTTACATTTTGAATACTCTGTACTAATTTACGTCTCTTACCGTGTAACATCACTAACATGGCTTAAGTAACGCCGCGTGGAATAGCTGGTGTCAGATTAAAATATATTTGTAAACAAAGTCGTTAAATATTGTGTTGGTGCTACTCTGAGTTACGACCTAGCATGCTCAAAAATTAGCTTGACCACGGTGGAAATAGAACCGCCGCGACCTTTGATTTGCTAGTCCAATGCTCTTTCGGAACTGAGATACTTCAGGAACTCAATCACGTCTCCTCTACATGTGTGTGTTTTAAACTTATCTGATACCTGAGTCATATATAATGCTGTTGTTGTTGTGGTATTTGTTCGTTGTTCGTCTCATAACATAATATGCAGGGTATCTGGATTATATATTATAGCATTCTGAACGGCTCTTAATGCATTTGATAATCCCGTGCTGTAACGACATTGAAAGAATTAATCCACATTATTCATTCATATTTTCTTTTCTCGCGCAGTTGTTGGTACTAATTGCCCTGACGTCAGCGCATCCTGGATTCAATGCCAGAGGCAATACTGGATGTGTTAAATCGTCTACTTATCGTAAAGATGTTTTCCCAAGGACGGCCGAGCTCGAATGTGAGAAGAAAGATTGTCATAAAGTAATGCACGAGCTCACATTCGCAATCATAGTGAAAAAGAAGATTGTCGTGGCTTGCACGAAAACACAACTTGAGCAAACCAGTAAACTTGCAGGAATTCTTCCTAGTGGCAAAATCTACCGTGTCTGTAAAAATGGTTTCAAAGCATACAAGACAAATGTCACAGACTTAGTGAAGCAAAGTAATTATTTGGTACCAATAAAAAAAGAGGTTCTAATTGAATGCAAATAAACCTGAAACATTGGAAAATGCCGAGTTTTAATCTAAAATAATAAGGGCAAATATTTGAAGATTATATATATTATAATATAGTAAAAACATTTATAAGACCTATTTATATTTACTTATTTAAAATAACGTTAAGTATTTTGTATAGTTTTAACTTAATAATAATAAATAATAATAAACCACAATTCTTTAGAGCATTAGCTCAGATTTTGCTTTAGCATGTCTATTGCATGCACGAGACGTTAAAATCAAGATATATCAAATAACCCAGGTAATGAAATTTCAAACGCTTGCCTTATAAATATACAATTATAATGTCTGTGCATTTCTTGCGGCTATTTTGGAAAGTAATAGTGGCTAGTTTTTCGCTCTTATTATTGAACAGGTGTGGGCGTTTTTGGCTTGCGTGATTTTTCACTTTTCATTGTGTTCGTGTTCTTATTATAAGAAAGAACTTCCATGGCGTATAAAAATAGTGTTTGTTGGGGCCAAACCTTACAAGTGTTGTGGTCGGAAAGGCTAAAGAGGAAATGCTGATCACAAGATCACAATAAAGGAACGGCAGAAACTTGCCGAACGAAATCGACGACACGTAATTGGAATTAAACAGCTTAAATAAATAAGGATATTTTATACTTACTATAACAAAAGTCCATAAAATATAGTATGAAAGTATAATATCCAAACTAAATGCTATTTTCCTGATACTATGGATGTATATGCATAGAAACAACATGAGTGAAGCATATATATTTGCCTAGTATGGATTTTTAAGAAAATTTCTAGTGAGAAATACTTTTATGAATACTGATACATGTATGTAAGTATATACATATCCACGCACGATCCAAGGCTGGGACGTGTGAGCGGAAATGTTTGACCTTACATACATGCATGCCTGCACATATCATTAGCTATATATAAGAAGAAAGCGTTGGACGCAAAATGTACAATGGCGATATTTAAGTACAAATGTGTTTGCCTGCATGATGAACGTTTCAAAAAAAGGGAAGATAAAGAAAAGCAACTGAAAACCAATTTACAAAAATCTTCATAGTATTATTAGTTTTTAAGTGCATGATATGTTTTTATATATGGCGTTTAGTAAAAGCAATATAGGCATATAGCAACACTTGCATGGGTTTCACTTTTAAAACTGACTTCCATACTCCAGAGATACACAGAGCTCAGTGGGGTTTTGAGGATTGTACATGCAAATCATAGAGCAATATAAATATGCATATGCAGGCAGTTGTAGTTTGTTAATTCATCGACTTTTAAAATTTCATATTAATGAAATTAAGGACATCAAAGCCTTATAGCTACTGGGCAAACAAGATCCTTTATTTTTGCGACTGCATGCATCATGTTTTAACAGTATTTAAATAAGTGTTTTAGGATAGAAGAATTTTAGAATTAGGATAAACTTCAAGACTTCTTGCTGCCTCTAATGCACACTAAAGTATTGAATGATTGAGGGAAGTGACATCATTTTAACATTATTTATTTATTTCACACTATTTAACGATAACAAAACGCCTGCTCAGGCGTTCACTCGGGCTACAAGTTATATGACGTATAATCTGATGTTTTCAAAACGGTCGTGACACCCGCGCGAGAAACGATCCTAGGACGATTTTGATTCGTTCGAAGACTTCATGCCGCCCGTGAAGACTTTGTCCTCGCTTTTCGTTGTCCGCTATTTTAATTGCTTTTTGAATCAATCCGATATTGCGTAATCAAGACAAATCCGATGTCATATGTATATCGAATCAACGTAGATAATCCGGTACGAAAACTGATCCGGTATCGTGTAAGCAAGACAAATCCGATACCATATGTATATCGAATCAACGTAGATATCCGGTACGAACACTAATCCGTTATTGTGTAAACGCTAGTTCACACTCAGGAAAGATCTCCTTTGGATCGAAACGGACAGGAAAATATCCTTTGCCGGTGAGTTCTTAGGCAGCGTTTATACAAAGGAAACTTTCCTGTCCTGTCCGATCCAAAGGAGAATTTTCCTGAGTGGAAACTAGCCTTAACTGGGGCCCTTATTGCCTCTCCTTAATTGATTGCTTTTTTCCAATAACTTTGGAAAAGTTACTTTAAACAATAACTTTATGGTTTCCGTTTTAGAATGGCCTGATCCAAACACGAGCCGAAGATTGTTTTATAACTGAAATAAACACAACAAGGATATGCTCCAAGTTGTATACAAGGCCCTGTCCTTGGGTGGCCTGATCAATAAGTACACGATTCTTAAACAGCGATTAAAAAACTGAGTTTGTACTTACAGGAGTTGCACCAAATTCTTCATGTTTTCGTAGACTGCAGATAGACAAATAATCAAAAGGTTTGTCAACTGCGGAAAAATAAAATATTTATAAAATAAGGTGAGCAAACGTCGTATACAGCAGAGACAGAAAGAATCACTGTTCTTCGATATCAATTTGCTTGCTGTCGACGATAAAGTCATCGCTCTAAGACATGTTTACGTTAAAGCCATAATCTTCATTAAAGGTAAGGGTTAGTTTATACGTCGCATTTTGGTGGCGTAAATGCAAAAGTGAAACAATCGTTCGTTATCTTTTATTGCCTATTGTTTAAATTGCATTTGCAACTTCTATATTGCTATAGAGTAGAATTGATAAAAAATGACAATAGTGCAAAATGCACTTTAAGTGTAAAATAACGTTAAGAATTCAAGCAATGTCATTGGTCGAGAGCCATAATCTATAGGAGGACACGCGCAAGGAATAACGTTACAGGAAATTTTAACGAATTTGGTTATAGCTTGTTTTTTTTTGTCAGCCAATCACATTTTAGCACGTGTCTCAAGCTAGCCAATAGCTTTTCGTCAATGCTATAGATCATGTACGCGTATTTCTAAGCACAATGACGTCATAACGTCAAATCACAATGACATCATAACGTTTCACGCTATTTATTTGTCAATTAAATATATTATAGTGCTTATATTTTATTAGATTAGTATTGTACTTTAATTTACGCGATCTAAAAAAATGGGTTTTCCCGTTGCCTAAAAAAACTGGGTGAAAAATGACAAGAATTTCTTGGGAATATAATTAATCTTACCAGCATTCTTTCGAAGTTTCTCTATAAGTGACGTCTCGCCTCTGCACAAGGACATGTAGTTCCAATGAGTGATAACACAAATAGATGTTCCTGAAGCATCACCAATTTCACCTGGAAAACAAAGCGAATATAATAATGTACAATGAACCTTCTTATCTCGCAGGAAAAACGACAATTGCGGCTAGTTATTATAGCAAAGTTATTGCAAATATCGACGCATATTTCACATAAAACCCTATACAACCTAATCGAAAAAAAATTAAGCAAATGGCTGTTCATATATATTTTTTTCAAGGAAGCATCAAAAGTGCCGCGTCTACCCCGTTCAAAATGATAAATATAATCATGTCTTTGGATATGGAACAACTTTGACGAAAGAAACTAGCATAAAATCAATACGATTTAACCCTAAATGATAGCTCACGAGCAAGAAAAACAAGATCGGGTCTGTTATAGCCTTACCTTCAAACGCCGGCAAGAGAGGCATAACAATGAAAACCTTGAAGTTTTCGCCATTACTGAAAAGGAAAATCCAACACGGTCAAGCATTGCGTTTGACAGTAATGCGGATTAAGGTTCAAGTAGATACTCGCTTTATAATAGCTATAACAGTGCCATTAATTGAGTACTGATAAAAATCATTATTTTCAAAACTGGTCGTCGGGTTTATCAGTGCGAGTTTGTTGTCTTTTTTATCTGGTACTTATATTTCGAGTTACGAAAATGGTAAATAAAAGGCGATGAAAAAGAAATTATAGAGGAGCTTTGCCCACATCACAAAACTAGTTTTTCATGTTGAGAACTTGTTCTTTTGTGATTTTACGTATGAAGAATAATATAATTTAAATTCAATACATAATTGATTCAATGACATTAGATCTACTTTGGGGTGTTTTTGGCGAGATCTAAAGAAAATACCGAATGTTTTCATTCTTGCAATAGTACGAATATTTTCATTTTTCATTAGAAACATTCATTATTAGTAAAATATGTTACTCGAAACCTGCGCTAAATATGACATGTCCTATAGATCTTTTCGTTAATTATATGTCACAATGTTATTGTTTTAAATTCAGATCCACCTTAAATGAGATGGATTTCAAGTTTTACTCTAACAAGCTATGTGCATGCAAAGATGCAAAACACCCTTCTTCAACACATGCGTGAAAAAGAATTTCACATTTTGACAAGCGTGGAAATAAGCGGTAACACGAGAACGAGGCTCCCGGTCCTCGCATCTGGGCCTCGTTCTCGTGATGGCATATTTCCACATTTATTGGTCAAAATAAAATATTATTTTTCATGCATGTGTTGAAGAGATTACAAGATGTTTACTTGTGTGCACGTGTAATTCGCTCCACCAATGCGTCTCCGACGATATTCTTAACATCAGGAGGAAGTGACGTGATAAAAAATTGATTCTAAAGAAATACAGGGAATAACTGCATGGGTGGAACGCGTTTCAGACTAAATGATTACAACATGCACTTATTACAACTAAAGGCTACAGTATACGCTTACTTTACCTCGATGTAAATGTAATGTTTGGATGTTTTTATCAAATGAATGTAAGCATTGTATATTGACGACTCGCTTGGACAGCCCGCTGACCATTCTCCCACAGAACGAAGTACCTACAGCAAAAAACCTAATGATTAGTGGCGATTAATAAATAGCACGAGTTTTAAAATCTGTGGAACGTTATATTTATTTGCCTTGCGTTCACCAAAAATGTAACTATTTTTTAACATAATTTTATGTGTTTACACGACAAAAAGAGTTTAGAATGACAAATGATAAATCTGGTATACAAATCACGTACAAACCTGACAATTGATATTGCTAGTTTTAAGTCCATCTGGAGCGGCGTCAACAAGACCGGTATAGGTTTTTGGGAGGAGTAGAGGGAAGAATGAATCTGCTTTCTTTTTCTCTAACTATAGAATTAAAACACAACACATATTTAAAATTGTATACCTAGCTTTGATGGAAAGAACAGAGAAGTAAAAAATCTAACTGTATCTCGGAAATTGAAACATAAAAATTGATGTTGAAGAATAACAATGCATAGGCTAGGTGCTATATACATGCACATGTTTAACACGCTACGTGAATAAATGTGTTATTGTCAATACCTTGGTAAAGTTCCACCTTTGAATAAAATGTCTGGCAACATCTCTTGCGACTTGGCCCCAGATACAGACAGCAACATCATGCCAAGGCATTCTGTTTGTACTACTTCTATCAATGATATCTACGAATCAAAGGTTCAAATCAGACATAAACAAGAGGCAGAGAAAAACATTGTAAACTGACAGTGTATTGGTAATCCCTAAGTAATCCACAGCACGTTGAGCAAACCAGTCATTGCCCTTTTCGTGTTTGTGCCAAATAGGGATCAAATTATATAAGTATTCATATAGGCATATACGTAAAAGCTGGGTCCCCAGAACTGCAGAAAAGATGTGAACGAGTAATATGTTACAATGCTCTGCATGATGTGTACGATGACGGTTTATGTTATATGAAAATGATCAAATTAGCAGAATAATGACGTGATAATCTCACGTGATCGAAAATGCTAAAATCTTCGATCCTCACACCATAGACAATCCAAAAGACTGTCTTCTGGATTGTCTATGCTCACACGCAATGGAAAAATAATCTTATAGCTACCTTGCTCAGGTTTATGTAAATCGACAAAATCTTTTATAATCGGATTGGAATAATCCTTCCCCGTCCACAGCCGTGCTCGTCCCAGCAATTTCCTTGACCGAGAAATTTTAGCTTCCTTCGTCTTTGTCCTTTCCTCTGTTATTTCGCTAAAGTTTGGTATTGCATTCGCTGTGGCAGTCATGAAAATGTTTCCGATATTTGCTATTACCTTTTCCTACAGTATAAAGAATTTTAGTCTAGAAGGGTAATGAGTAGTTATAACCACATCTTGGGTTCCATTGCATTAAATGTAGCTAAAGTTAATTCACGTATAGTTAGCGCAAATTTCAACCAATAACAGTCGAAGAATTTGTAGTTAACTATCTAACAGCGAAACGTAGTTGAGGGTATTTGTTTGCAGTCCAAAGCATGCCGCCTCGAAGAAGAAAAAAGCTGTTTGGATACAAGCTTACATTACCCGAAAAAACTAGCAGGATTCGCGCTAGGTACGTAACACACTCAGTGTCACCCACTAGGTGGTTGATAGAAAACTAGAACTCATAGGCCTACATACTTCAGTTGCATGGGAGTATAGTATAGTGGCATTTTCACAAAAGCTTTTTGATATTTTAAAGAAGGGCTCTTTGAAATAGAAAAGCTGGATTATAGGTCAATTCAAGTAATTTACATTTGTGGGTGAAATAAAACCATGCACGGGTTAAAACATACCGTTTTTGAATATGTGCTGGGCACAAATTCTGAATCACAGTCTGTAAGAAAATGCCTACAGTTGTCCCAACGACCATAACACAAATCCAACCCTAAAATATTAGGACAGACGCAAAGCTAGCTCATGTATTTGCGTTTCTCAATCTTGCCAGATGAAAATTCACGTATATAGCATCTATACCTCCAAGAAAAGCAACTTTTTGATCAATGCAAACTATTTTTTCGTGGTGAGCCCAATAAAATATTCCAGTTTTTCCGGGGGTGTGGTCAGGGTGTCGTAATACCTATAAAGAATAAAGGATAAAATATACACCTTTATATATAACAACCACAATAATATTATTTAACATGGAAACAGCGCAAGTTTCTTTTATACGTGCATTGGATCCTTGTCACAGGGCCACGCTGCGTTGTTGCACTCCTTACGTTTGAATATGTGGCTATCGGTTTTGTGAAATATATACTTGTTTCAATACCTTTATATTAGTGGGATGAAGCTTCAAAAGAGCAGTTTTACTGTAGATACTTTTTATTGTTAAAGCCATCTCCATTTCTTTATATATTAGAACATATATCATAACCCCAGCTTCCTGGAGGAAAAAAGAGATTATTATTTTGTACAGTATAGGTCAGAATAAAGCAAAGTGAACGTATACAGTAAACGTCAGACTAAATATAATCAAAACCTACCGCTTTGCGTTGTAATATCCTATCCAGTCTCCAATGATCATTTTCTGTCGACGGACGAACCATGTGCAGTTCTGGACTAAACCTTAAAGAAATATATGAAAGATTAATTCGAAAACTTAATTAGTTATTGCAGATAGGAATAATTTGGCTCTGATGTACAAACAATTACAGGAGATCCAAAAAGTAATTCTCTGTTAAAATACTAGCCCAAAAGCAGACATGAACCTATAAATAAACTTCTGTCTCTTGGTAACCGCCTGTTTCACATTCAGGAGATAAATTTACACGATCCTCGAGATGCCATGCATGAGAGCATGATTCTAAACATTTTTTATGAAAAAGAAAGAGCGGGATTATTACATATACAGCTCCCTCCCCAAACACCCCATCCCCCCCCCCGCAAAGAGAACATTCTTGGCCCTTTCCCTAAGAACTTACGAATATCTGTCTTAAATGAAGCATGCAAATTCCTATAACATATCACAGGTGTGATAAGGCATGAGGGGCATAACACTCAACTTTACACCTCAAAAAATAAAAATTCAATCTACCACCAGTCTGTGATGAATATTTCTTCTTTAGCTTCTTCAAGAGCTTGTGAGACTGAGTAAAAATATTCTTCACCATCAACAAACCTAACATCCCCAAAACGATTAAAATTTACGATAAGACAACTCTACAACAGCGTTCTGCAAAACAGTGTTCCCGGTATGTTTCTTGGGTTAGGCAAAATAAGACGAATTAGTGAATATGCACCCTCCCCAAATTAAGCTTCTAGCTACTAGGGCCCTGGGAACAAGGTATAAATAGTCATACCACTGAGCCGGAATCTTTTGTCTTTGTGGAGCATAAGAATCGAAAGCATTATTCTTGGTCCAAATTGAACCAGTATCGGCCATAGTACGAACCATCTCTGCCATCCATTCGCTAAAAATAAAGCCCCGCAATATTGTAAACATCGCTATAAGAAGGGCGGAGGGGAATGGACGTTAAAAATTTTCGAAATTAATTTGATGGCGACGCCCGCCCCTTTAGAGTTTCCACGACCTAGCCAGTTTGCGGAAAAACCTTTCTCCTCTTTTTCATTCATGCCCGCTGCACGTTTGATTCGTTTGTCAATGCGTTTATATCACATTTAAAAAAATAAACAATACCAACTTAACACCTTTGTTTTCGATGAGTCCAACAAAATACAGTTAACTCCCTAAAGAAATAAAGGAAGTTTAGTTTATGATAACTTTTTGTTGCGAACGAAAGAAACAGAATAAAATTACAACAGCGGTTATTTACCTCTCACGATTCCTAATTAGCAAACCACGAGATAAATGCGGGGGAATTTCAACTGAAAATTTTTCATCTAAAAGCAACACGCCTCGGACCTCTTGATTTCCTGGACTAGAATAAATAAGCTCAGGAATTCAGTATTCAGAAACGTAAGTTAATAAAGTCATAAATTCTGGACCCTTAGGCATTTGTTCGGGGTGTTAGAGGTATTACACACTCACACCCCATTTGTTACTCAGTTGATGCAAGTTCTTCCTAAAATACGAACCACTAAGGCGTTTGTTTGGGGTGCCTCAGGATTTTTTTTCAAAATCCATACTATATATTTGCAAACTCCGAAATTGAACCGCTGACAATACCTTTAGGTTTGGTTTTTGATTATTTGAGGGTCTGGTTTATTTCTTAGTCACTTTAAAAAAGCGCGAGCGTTTGGCGGAGGCCTGGTAACGAAGTGCTCTAGCATATCTGAGATAGCCCTGACCTTGGTGAAGTGTGTTGCAGGAAGACGACATAGTAGAAATTAGAATATTTTGTGGGTGATTCCCTGTAATTTAGGGCGAGACATTACTAGTATAATTATGCCATTGAGGAAAAAATGTTGTCAGAGGAATGAATGAAATCTAATTATTAAAACTATCAACATGAATAAAGCAGGAAAGCGCTGTTTTCAATACGGTCGTCAGGATAGTTATATTAGTATGAAGTACTTACTCTAAGTAAGCAATAAATGAATCCTTCATCACGAACCACCTGAAATGTAGAAACAAATTATTTATTACAAATTTATCAACAATCACTCACAAAAAACAGATATATCAGATACTGATAAAACATTGACTGAAAATAAATCAATAGTCGGTCGAGTTTATTTTTTTATACAATGTTGATTTCGCTGATTTCGTCGTATATGCATGGTTAATAGCCCATGCTTATACGACCGAGCTCGTGATATATACGACTTGACTTGCCAGAAATACTGGAAAACAAATAACATGATATGGGATAAAAATATTTATGTACTTGGTCTTCAAATATCAAAATATTGAAAACTATAAGTCAATTTTTTTTAGATTTGCCAGTTTCAGTGCGGAGTTATACTTTCGTCCGTTTTATAATTCGTCTGTTTTTGTTTGTTTGCCGGCCTGCATATGTAAGCAAAATTTCTATAAACGACATATAGGAATAAGTAAATTTTGAAAATTTTGATTCATTTTAAATCGAATTGGGCCAATTGGGATGAGAAACTGCGCGCATCCTAGGCCCCAGGTACATCGCAGAGATCCGTTTATATATGAGGTATAGAACGTTGAATGCGAGCTCATCCCATGCATCAGGTAACACAAAGCCAACACAGGCAGTTTGCATGGGAGTAAACTACAAACTTAAAAAAGGAGGAGTATTAATAATCTGTCACGTCCGCACCTAACTATTCACACGTGTACTGTAAGTATAGTCACGACCAATAAATAATAAGAATTGGTAATATATGAAAAAATTACACCTCTCGCTCTCTGTTCTCTAGGTCTTGATACATATACAGTATATTGAGACTTTGAAATTTCTTTGTGTTAGGGAGGACATACAAGCACATACAGGGTGTATAAAAAAAAGAAGACATTTAGAAATTAAACTATTGTTATAATTTAAATGCCCCGTCACTACGCTAAGCCCTTGGATGCGGTGTGAAATTTATGAGCAGTATTAATTCGTGCCATGCATTAGATTTATTCGATTGACCATGTTTGTGCACCAGTGGGCTTGATCAGGCATTTAAATTGTAACAATAGTTTGATTTCTAAAGATAAACCCTGTAGATACGAATACACGCTTTGGGAGGGCTCCAAATAAATCTTTGAGAAATTTTAATCTCCTTAATTTAATCTTTTTAGTTTTTGATTTATTGATAGGTTTTATGCACTTAGCATTTAAATCATGCAGTAATTGACTTGTGGGCACAGCCTCAAATGTTTGCCGCTTTTGTTTCGTTCTTCTCGACTCCACGAGAATGAATCAATTAGGCAATGGTACATATTTTTCTAAAAATCAGCATGCTGAAGCGAATATATAGACATTATAACAATATAACAGCCAAAATACACAATATAACAGACAATAACTAACTCAGTGCGATTAGTTGTGTCATGATTTAGAGGCGACTAACCCCTACTCGACGCAATGACGTCAGTTATACTCATTATTCCTGTTAGCCTCGCCCCATTAAGCTTCGCATGTCGTGTTGCGAAAACGATTTTACAAATTTCTAAATCTGAGTGGTTGCGTTTACGCGATAATCATGGCCAGGCAATGTTTTTTAACGACGGCAAGTGCATGGTTATATCATAGTTTCCCGAAGAAATAAGTGAACAGAAATAAGGGAAATATTTCACCATGACCTCTTAATCTGATCAAATCCTTTATCGTAAAACCCGAGAACAATATTTTAATCATTTAACAAATACCAACAGGCACATATGAAATTACGTAAACCAAAATATACATAACGTATATTGTCATCACCATAACTATAAAACGCTAAAAATGTTTACCAAATATACACTTCATACAGGGTGTAAAAAAGTGAACAATTATTAAATTGTTTATATACATCAAGCTAAATTTTAGAAATGTTTTGGTAAATATGGGTTATTTTTAAATTGCGTCAAAAGGTTAGAGTTAGGTCATTACTCATTATTTTGTTCTTGCGCAAGAGTCAGACTGTGAAACGGATAAGATCCAGGCAGTGCGTTTATTATGCGGTTATCATATATGGGAGTGGTTGACATTGATTCATCTCTTTCATTAACCCTAGTTTCATATGTGGAAGTTGTTGACATTAATCCATCTCTATCATTAACCGCAGTTTCATTTCGTGTTTCCTGTGACACCAGTTCGATAAAGTCATTATTGCATGGTGGCACGGGGAAGAGGAAAATAAACTTGCTCTCGCGCTTCTGTTTGGGTCACATTACTCACATAGATGTTCTGGACGGCTCTTTCATGGTTACTATAGAAAGGATCCGGAGTGTTTTCCGCAGCATTTTGATCAGATTGTGCGTTCATCTTTTTACGAGAACAATAAAACACCAATCCCAAAACAGCTAAGGGTAAAGTAAGTCCAACAAGCGACGCAATCAACCACTTTGGGAACTCCCAAGAACACTCGGTGCACCTACCATCCTCAGTACAGCATTGATTTTGGCCAATGCAATGACTATCAGAACTACATTGTATTTGACCTTGATTGCAGCTTCGAGTACAGCGCTTCAGACCTGATTCGTTGTTAATACAGCAATAATGTTGTTTGCCATCGTACGTAACACAATCCGAGGAAGAGTGGCAAGGTTTGGTGCTAGAACATAGACCACCTTCACACCATGTGTCTGATCGCAAACAATGAGCAGCAACAGTACAGGACTGTTTTTCACATTCTTCCACGGCACATCTACTGTCCCCAAACGATTCTTCTTCGCAACAAAATGTACCGTTAAGGCAATCAAAGCTGGATTCACACAAATGCCCGCATTTCACACACTTGCCATGACGACAGCATACGTCTGGTTCATCACAGTCGTTGTCATGGATACACATATATCCGATGCAACTTCGACTACACTGGGTAATTCTATCAAGTCAATCTTGCAACAATGTAACCCGGCATTGCAATTGTCATTGCTTTCACACTCCGTCCTCTTGATACAAAAACTGTCAGAACAGCGCTCTAAACTGGCGCAGTCTTTATCATTGTAACAATTTTCCCCAATACAGTTCAATTTACATGTTCCGTAGCCGCTATGCAAATTGTTACAACAATATTTCCCAGAACTACATTCTGTGTGAGATTTACAACCAGCATATAAACAACTAACACATTTTCCGGAACGGCAACAATCGTTACCACACAGAGAATTGAACTGGCAACTTAGCCCAACACACGAAGACAAGCATTGAGTCTGCTCGTACCAACTAGCAGAAAGACCTCTGATACAACAAACCTGCGATTGTCCACAGTCCGAGTCCACCGTACAAAGTGGACATAAATGACATCTATTTGACCGACAACACAACCGCTGTTCATTCTTTAGTCCTTTGCAGTCCCTATTGTTCGTACAATAATAGCCCATACACGATCTTGTAAGGTTAGCTGTCTTTAGTGTCTTATAGTTGTTTAGACAATAAAATGAATGGGGAAACGATAGAGTTCGACAACAAACCTTTTTCATACGACAATCCGCATGAGAACTACAAGTATCATGAGAAAGCGTTGACAATAATCCAGTAACAACTAGAAATAAACAAGCGAAAAACTTCGACATCTTCGAGAACAAACTCTCATGGCAGTGATTGGTATTTGTTATACGTGATCTGTAGGGGATGTCAAATTATATAAGTGATAGTTGGCGGAATGGTGTTAAATGACACACCTCGTGTGAACCACACAAAAGGAGTGATATCCGAGAGGGTGATATCCGTGATATCGTGTTTGATTATACCGCTGTGTATATTTCATCTTGCTGGATCGTATTTTGCTTCAGATTGTTTGTATTTATTCTGCTTACGTCAGTGTCCGCTAGACTCTTCCTCAGAAACTAAATTTCAAAGAACAAAATCCGGAAAGAATAATTAATTGATACACAGTGCCATGTTGTGTTTAGTTGTTGAGAATATACAATGGTATAATATTGTATTCATATCGCAAATTTTCATATCTAACGGCTATATCTGGGAAGTATATAATAAAGATGATGCTATTAAAACACTTTAGCGATAGAACACCGTAAATAAATGAGGAAAGAGTCTTTAATGTCAAAGCGAGGTACATATAGGTTTGCCCACACGCTCCGTTTTCTCGCCAAGTTTATTTCAATAATCCGCTCAGAACATGCTTTCCTAATTATTGGAAAAGGTGTTTATGTTTCTCCGCCCACATCTCGCGAAAACAAAAACTGGAAATCCGATGTCGAAGGCAGTTTTGTGGCGAACGTCCAGAACTCCAGAAGTCAATATATAGTTACATATATATGGAAGAGCTATATATGTGTTAATGAAATGTGAACTGAGTTATACAGAAAGAAGTATTTTAACCCCGAATGGACCTCGGCTAGATCATCAAAAGTCAGTTGAACGATTTAAGCAATTAAGTCCCCACTTTTAAAGAACCGGAAAGGATAAGTACAGAAAACAGCTGCTAAATGTGTTTTAAAAAGGGAAACTGCGTAGTTGTCGACAACTAATAGTTATCGACGGCCTCATTTCTTGGGGTTTTTCTAGTGTGTGAAAACTTTTGTTTTAGTTGTCGACTACTTTTAATCTCGGCACTATTTCGGTTGCTAAATCAGTATTTGAGCGCCAGTGTGTGGAATCCTTTATCTAGTTTTTTAGTTGTCTAGACTTATTTAGTTGTCGATAACTTTTAGTTGTCGATCACAAATAGTTGTCGTCAACTAAATCCCTAGTCTGTGGAGGCCTTTACACCAGTTATCAGCATGATACACTAGTTAGATATTCTTGTATTGTTTCATAAAGACTTATTTCAATACCTCAAAAATCATCTCACGTTTTGTTAAATTCTCGGGTAACCAGGCTCATGATGTAAACAGACCCTTTATCATTTTAAGACGAATGACAAATGTGGACTTCTTATCTACTAAATGCATTTGGAAACAATAGATAATCAGCTTACGTGCCTAAAGCCAAAGAAGACACTGAGAATTTGATACAATACAAATACATAGTATATTTTTACATAACGCATGAGATGTCTGACGTTGAATATGGCCTTGTCTCCTGTATATCTAATGCCTGGTGTTCGGAAGTGATTCATATAATTCTGTGTTTGAAAAAAACCCGAGTGGCAAAATGAGCACATAAAACAATTTAGTAGCAATATAGGACTTATTTCATCGTATTAACTAGGCTACTTAACTATAAGGACGCCTCAAAGGCGCTTATGCGCAAGGTAAGTAGAACTCACACATTTATGCATAATTGAAATAAAACATGAACTGTTGTCGGATTGAAAAGTACTCATGTTTTTACCTTTGCGTGAATTAACTCCATACTGATCAGAATGGTCGAGGAAAGAGAACACTTCCTATTCCTGACGTTAATAGTTTTATCATAATTAAATCGTGCTAACGTATTCCATTCTACCATGATAGGCCTGATAGCGTATTCCATTCCACCATGATAGGGTATTCCATTCTACCATGATAACGTATTCCATTCTATCATGATAGCGTATTCCATTCTATCATGATAGGGTATTCCATTCTACCATGATAACGTATTCCATTCCACCATGATAGCGTATTCCATTCTATCATGATAGCGTATTCCATTCTATCATGATAGCGTATTCCATTCTATCATGATAGCGTATTCCATTCTACCACGATAGCATATTCCATTCCACAATGATAGCGTATTCCATTCTATCATGATAGCGTATTCCATTCTATCATGATAGCGTATTCCATTCTATCATGATAGCGTATTCCATTCTATCATGATAGCGTATTCCATTCTACCACGATAGCATATTCCATTCCACAATGATAGCGTATTCCATTCTATCATGATAGCGTATTCCATTCTATCATGATAGCGTATTCCATTCTATCATGATAGCGTATTCCATTCTATCATGATAGCGTATTCCATTCTACCACGATAGCATATTCCATTCCACAATGATAGCGTATTCCATTCTATCATGATAGCGTATTCCATTCTATCATGATAGCGTATTCCCTTCCACCATGATAGCGCATTCCATTCTATCATGATAGCGTATTCCATTCCACAATGATAACGTATTCCATTCTATCATGATAGCGCATTCCATTCTATCATGATAGCGTATTCCCTTCCACCATGATAGCGTATTCCATTCTATCATGATAGCGTATTCCATTCCACAATGATAACGTATTCCATTCCACCATGATAGCGCATTCCATTCTACCATGATAGCGTATTCCATTCTATCATGATAGCGTATTCCATTCTACCATGATAGCGTATTCCATTCTATCATGATAGCGTATTCCATTCTACATGATAGCGTATTCCATTCTACCATGATAGCGTATTCCATTCTATCATGATAGCGTATTCCATTCTATCATGATAGCGTATTCCATTCTATCATGATAGCGTATTCCATTCTATCATGATAGCGTATTCCATTCTATCATGATAGCGTATTCCATTCTATCATGATAGCGTATTCCATTCTACCATGATAGCGTATTCCATTCTATCATGATAGCGTATTCCATTCATCATGATAGCGTATTCCATTCTATCATGATAGCGTATTCCATTCTATCATGATAGCGTATTCCATTCTACCATGATAGCGTATTCCATTCTATCATGATAGCGTATTCCATTCTATCATGATAGCGTATTCCATTCTATCATGATAGCGTATTCCATTCTATCATGATAGCGTATTCCATTCCACAATGATAACGTATTCCATTCTATCATGATAGCGTATTCCATTCTATCATGATAGCGTATTCCATTCTATCATGATAGCGTATTCCATTCCACAATGATAGCGTATTCCATTCTATCATGATAGCGTATTCCATTCCACAATGATAACGTATTCCATTCTATCATGATAGCGTATTCCCTTCCACCATGATAGCGTATTCCATTCTATCATGATAGCGTATTCCATTCCACAATGATAGCGTATTCCATTCTATCATGATAGCGTATTCCCTTCCACCATGATAGCGTATTCCATTCTACCATGATAGCGTATTCCATCCCACAATGATAGCGTATTCCATTCTATCATGATAGCGTATTCCATTCTATCATGATAGCGTATTCCATTCCACCATGATAGCGCATTCCATTCTACCATGATAGCATATTCCATTCTATCATGATAGCGTATTCGATTGTATCATGATAGCGTATTCCATCCCACAATGATAGCGTATTCCATTCTACCAAGATAGCGTATTCTATTCCACCCTGGTAGCGTGTTCCATTGTACGATGGAAGAGTATTCTATTTTGCCTGGTAGGGTATTCCATTTTACCAAGGTAAGGTATTCTATTTTACCATGGTAGGGTATTGTATTTTACCATGGTAGGGTGTTCTACTTTACCATGGTAGGTATACTATTTTACCATGGTAGGGTATTCCATTTTGCCATGGTAGGGTATTCTATTTTACCAAGGTAAGGTATTCTATTTTACCATGGTAGGGCATTGTATTTTACCATGGTAGGGTATTCTATTTTACCATGGTAGGGTATTGTATTTTACCATGGTAGGGTATTCTATTTTACCATGGTAGGATATTCTATTTTACCATGGTAGGGTATTCTATTTTATCATGGTAGGGTATTGTATTTTACCATGGTAGGGTATTGTATTTTACCATGGTAGGGTATTCTACTTTACCATGGTAGGGTAGGGTATTCTATTTTACCATGGTAGGGTATTCTATTTTATCATGGTAGGGTATTGTATTTTACCATGGTAGGGTATTCTATTTTGCCATGGTATGGTATTCCATTTTACCATGGTAGGGTATTGTATTTTACCATGGTAGAGTATTCCATTCTACCATGATTGGGTATTCTATTCCACCATGATAGGGTATTCCATTCTACCATAGTGGCGTATTGAATTTTGAGTTCCAGACTAAGGCTTATCTAAGGTTATACTTAAGTAATCTTACCTTTTTCTCCAGACGTAACAACAACATTGTGGGAAACAGCAACAACACCTGGCCAAATGGGGAGACACATGACCTCCAGAACGCTTGAGCAGTACACCTTCCCTACACCAAGAAAACAAAATCAATTAAATTCCTACATTCACAACTTGAGTCATTGCGAAGTGCGTCTTGTAAAACCAAATCGATGGGTGGTTTTCATTTGGTCTTAATTGCCGTGAAGTCATTTTCAACTATGTGAAATAATCCAAATGGAAATTTGTCTTTATTCTCTGCGTTTAAATTGTCATTGTTGACGGCAAACACATTAAAATATTCTAACACATCAACTATCTTAACATGTTCATGACCATTACGATTAAATGAAAAACGCCATCGCTTAGCTGCCTATTGAACTCACCTGCGTTTTACTCCAAGGTCTCTGATAAACGACACTCGACTGATCTCAAAGAATTCTTGAAGTCTTCGACTTTTATGATAACCTTTCTTGTCTAATATATCCTGAATGTATGTCTCCACAGCCTTCTTTCTTTCTTCTCTGTTGTGTAGCAGAATGGCTGGCGCGAATGAAAGTCGTCCGGGATCGTCCGAATGACGCACTCCAGCTTTTTTGGCGCGGTGGAAAAGAAGGTCTGCGTCTAACTTTTGAAAGTGATGATAGCGCTTCTTGATTCGCCATGAAAATTCACCATGATGAAGTTCTATTACGTAACTTGAAAAAATAAATAAATAGGAATAGGGTAAATCATAACATGCTTTCTATAAAGATGACCGCCACATAACTGTTTTCTTCTCCGAACTATATTAAGCATATTTTCGAGGTTATTACGAAGCATATTTTCAAGGTTTCATGCATTTTACCGAAGCTACTGAAAACCAGTTTGTTGCTTAATATGGTCGAGAAAGAAACCAGGTTTTGTCCGAAATCTTCTTTAAAAACATCTATTAAAAAATGCCAATATTTAAAATTCGGTTTGGACGGAAAATATAGATAAAGATATACATTAAAATGTAAATAAGGAAAAAATTGGTTGAAGACCACCGATACAATTTTCCATTAAATGTAATATCCTGTCGGGTTTGCGCATCAGTTCAGTTCTGCATGGTAAGAACAATGTGGGCCCAGCATTTGAAAATTGCCTAAATCTTGCATTTTTCTGGACACAGACTCAAGGCTATACTCATTTAAAATCATAGCGAATCAATGTTTGACATTGCACAAACAGTTCGTCGTATTTCAAAAATAACGACTGGACATCATGAATAATTGTTTCCATGTTACATGCACACACCGAGCGCAATTCGTCATCCGGCAACGCGAGGCAACTTTTAAAGCTTAGCCGTCAATAATGAGATGATTCTTCCTCAGATACGAAGAGCTAGAATACCTCGACATGGTACCGCACCTCTAAATAATAAAACAGGTAAATCGAGTTTGGGTTCAACCAAAATAGTTCGTGTCTCGTTGGCTCCCGTCTGGGCAGTGTGTTTTGGCGAGGTTCTAGCTTATTTAGACCTTATAAACAACTATATTGTTGTCATAAATATTATCTAATAATGTCATAATGGCATCATATAATCATAATAATCTCACGTGCTATAATACACGTGCAGCAAGTTGAAGGCCTTAATTCGCTGACATTCAAAACAAACCACGGATATTTGTCGGCATTAATGAATATTAATCGATAAAATACGTTTTCCACAGCAAATGCTGCCTAGTACCTTGTAGTTGTAATACGTAACCTCGTACAGTACAGTCTACAGCCTTTTTACCCTACAGCAGATTTTGTCTTACGTAGCTCTACCAAATCAAATAAATATACCCAAAACTAAACCCATACAATCATGCAATAATGTACCTATAAAATGAAAACATTAAAAATATACTCACAGGTTTGGATTAAACGGGTGATTAAAGACGGAAGATCTTTCGACTTCCACAACATGAGCAACCATGTTTGTATTCGGTACAAATGTTTGTTTACTATCACGGACATAATAAATTGTAAGATAAGGAATGGAATTGCTTCTTTCGCTGTGATTTTCTTCGTCTAAAGAAATAAAAAAGTCTTCCATGCAATGACCATGTCTGTCGACCTTATTTTGAATGAGGGTTGTAACTTGTAACCGAATGATAGCCTCAAACAATTTTCTCCAAGAAAAGGTCTTTTAATAAGCTGCGAGCTATGGCAATTAATTTAGATAAACATATTCAGAAGTGGTTGAAAAACAAACTAAAAAAACAATTGAATAGCACATGACAGTAGTTCCACCTAGATTGCGGTAACACAACAAACATACTCAAAACTCACGTAAAATTGATATAGATGGAGACGAAATGAGATCATGTGTTCGAAACAACCCATCATGATCAGCTGTTTCTGAAGACGTATTGGTTGTGTTGATCGGTTCAAATTGAACTTTTTTGGTTGAAGCTTCTTCGTCAAGAAAGTTTACGCTGCCTGACAAGCTTACAGTTAATGGATCTTCATCTGCCATCTTTACAGCCAGATGAACACGCCTAAAATCCTAAATGCCACAGGTCGAGTCGACTAGAGTTTATTGTGCCCATGAAAATATACATCAATCCTAAAAATATTTTGAAAAAGTTATAAACAATTAAAATTTAACAACCATATAAAATGCACAACATCCAACTAGCAAGCTCTTCTAGTTTAATCATTGCCAGCCTATGCACAACATATAACGTGATGATTGGGTGGGGGTGGAACGTACGTCTCTTAAAAAGCACTCATTATTACTGGTGTTGTTAAAAAAAAAACGATTTCAAAATTTTCAGCAAGAAAGATGAAACTCTAGTTATATATTATACGGCTAAAACAAATAAAAGTAAGAGATAGTAAAGATATATAGATAGACATACGATAACTAATATCTTTTTACACTTCTTTATCAGCCCTAAGGCTAAGCTGTTGCATGCTGCAGTCATATAAAATCGGGTCAACATCGAAATAGACTGAAAAAACTGGTCGTGTGGTCCGAAAGATTCGCCGACAAGAAGAAGTTTCACGGGTCAAGAACTTTTTACGATGCAAACGTCACTGTCAGGCAGTTGTATTGTCACGCGTAAAATAGGATGCAACACTGCCGATACATTCACGTGTTGATGTTCGTTCATATGGGGCAGGGGTTGTCGGAAAGGTGGATGAATAAAATATCCATTGGATGCCAGTTTGGATCGAGTCAATCGCTCTAGATTCTAGAATACGGGTACACTGATACAAAACCGGTTCTTTTAGAAAATACGAAATAAATAAATATTTTGAGGAATGAATAAAACAAATATTCTGGGGAGTAATTTTATTCAAGTGACAGATGCAGTCAGCATTCGACTCCAATGGCGCAGGGGGTCAGTAACATTATGATCCCTTGAGCTGGCCAGGTTTGAAAAAATAACTTAAAGATAACTTAATCATTCTTTCGAAGGACTGCCTCCTGGTGCAGCAATGTTGAACCCGTACGAACAGTTAGTTACTGGAACCCCAATTACCCCAACTGGGATATGACAAGTGACACCAAACACAGCCTCAAATGATTACCACACTTTTGTGGCTATGGCTATAGAATGAAATTGAAATTTTCTGAAATATATACCTGTGATTGAACTGAGAAATGCAACCTTATGCCTCTGGCAAGATCTAACCTATGCTTAAGTATTAGAATTCCAAACTCACTTAAGATGACTGATCCACTTATCTCAGTGCCTGGAAAAAAGTGGATTTTTGTAGCTGTACTTATAGAAGCTGTTTTCATGGTTTTTGTTTAATATTAAGTGGAATAAAAATAGCAATGGAAAAAAGTTTACACATGGAACCTTGATCCCTAATAACAGTGAGGTGTGGTTAACCTGGGGCCAGATTAATTAACCTTTGACTGCACATGTAAGGCCCATGGCATTTTTTTTCAGGATGGAGCCATTTAATTCACCCCCTTGTAGGTGATGAATTCCATGTGATGAGCAGCTATTCAAAGAATTAATATTTACTGCTCCATGATGTGAACAATTGCTATTAAATTACATATACAAAGGTTATTGAGTCATCGGTGCACTGGGTCCCTAAAGCTTGAGGTTTGACAACTAGCAGATGCCCCTTTAGCCTTATATGGTCAATCTAGCTCTGGTTTTGCAGCAAAATGTGTAACTGACCTAGCTCATAATTTTGTAGAATCTTAATGCTCTTGATATAATGATAGCTCAACATTCCCTAATTTGAACTCATCACAATTAAAACCATATTGGCCATGGGGCAACTATATCTGTCATAAAAACCAGAAGCATTTGTTGTATAATCTACACAATCACAAAGGAACCTAATGATCCAGTCACAACATTTTTATTAGGAATACTGAGAAATCTTTCAAAGAATTCGATGGCATTCAAGCACTTTGTATAAATTATATATATACTATAGGCTATATGTCTAGTTGTCTACAAGTCGTGAATTATTTATTTCTAATAAACTCGAGAGCATTCAAATTTGTATTGGACCTTTAATGACAGAATTCAATTGAACTGACAGAAATACAAAAATAATTTTAGCTTCCTCGAAGATACTTACATATTTTAGTAAAAGTCTCCAAAGAGTCAAGAGTATTTATTCAATATGAAATTAATAACATATTTGCAATAAACAACAAGAATCCAGGCTTTTATTTTCATTCACTCCTTGCCATGCAAATGCTCTCATCAAATTATTAGCACCGAACCTTATATTCGTGGGTGCTACTTCGGTATTTTAAATATCAATTTCATTTATGATTTACCTGTATTTATTTTTGTAGGAAGCCCTTGTGTGTTCTATTTTTAGAACGTGGGGTCCACGCACAATCCACGCGATGTAATTGCGCGGGAGGAAATTATCGCATTCCAATGGCCACAGAGAAGAGATGGACAGAGAGTCGACTCTCTGTCCATCTCTCCTCTGTGCAATGGCGTCCTTTGATTGGCGTCAAAAATGATCGATATATGTTAAGTTCAAAACACTTTTCCACCAAAAGACTCGTGATCAGAATGATAGTCCATTTTATTTGTTTTCTCTCATCACAGTGCTCTCATTTATATGAGAAATTTTATATAAAACAACGAGAAATGTAACGGCTGTGAGTTGTATCGAAGCATTTTTCCTTGGAATTAGGAATTGAAATGTTTCAATAGTACAATGAACATACAAAAATAAGGGAAATTTAAGGATTCGTGAGGTATAGCGATAAGGAAAATTCAGTGTGGTGCATTGTTCTATTTGGTAATTTTGGTTGTTGTAGGTCTTCGATAGCACGCGGTTAAAACATGGATGATACTATTACACAAGAGTCGGAGAGGCGGAAAAGCAATCAGAAGAAAAAGAAAAAAAACAAAACGATCGCTGCAGATGAGCAGGAATCTGTGATCTTTGGCGATGCTGATGGTTCCCAAAAGGAAGCAGAAACTACGACAGAACAGTCGCCTGTTGCTCGGAAAAAGCACAAAAAAACCTCAAGGACGAGGAATCCTCTAATCCTCAAAGAGGAATCCACACAGTCTGATAGTGCGAATAGGAATCTTCGAAACGAGAAACAATCCACTCCAAAACAAACTCACGAGCAACAATCTACTGCATTACAATGTGGCGATGCAAATGGTTCTCGTAGTGAGGATCAAGCTACGACAGAACAACCTGTTCGAAAAAAGCACAAGAAATCCTCAAAGACGGGACAGGAGTCTTCACAATCTGATAGTGCCGATACCAAACGAAAACAGAAACAATCCACGCTAAAACCGAGTGCTGATGTCAAAGAAGAATCCAAACGAAGCCCGGAAAAAATGGCGCCAACTCCGTCGCCTATACAACCACTATTGAAACAAGAATGGACCGACGATCAGGAACATAAGCTGCTGGAAAATGTAAAGATGTACGCCTCGAAATTAACTGGAAGAGTGCGACACTCACAACGCGTCAACTGGTCTAATGTAGAAAAGGTGGATAATTTCACAGAGGTATTTAATAGAATTATTGTCAACCAACTATTAATACCGCGTGCTTCATTTTAAGATGCACCATGCGTTTTCTTCTACTAGCCCAAATTAATTTAGTTACAAAATCTTTCTGTAGCCCTGTTTACACTACACTTGATTTATCAGCATGGCTAAAATGGATACCCATGCCCATTCCATCTGTGCCTGGCCTTTTTTTAATAATACCAGGTACCAATTTTAGCTGTACCAATGAAGTGACTGTAGTATAAGGGGGTTAGTGCCACATTTGAGAATTGCATCTGTAATCTTATATCACAGGGGTTTTGTAGAAAGATTCAAATTAACTAAAAATATAATTGGTAACATGTTAACTTGTGTTTGTTAGTTGTTACAACTTACAAATTATTCATCAATGGAAAATAATCGCCATTCAAGTATATCACTCCCTCTATATAACTCTTTGATTTATTTGGTGGTCGTGGTTCCAAAAGAAAATGGTTTTCATTATCTTTATTCTTATTAAGGTATAGCAGTAAAAAACATTTTTTTTATTATTAAATTCCCAAATTGTACCTGCCATCAAATGATTACCTATACCTTTAATATTTCTTATGTAAAGAGTAAAGAATTATAAGACTGATAAAAATAATAAACAAACCAAACTTTCCTTCTAGTCCTTGTTTCTTTATTACACTAAAAAATTAAAAAAGATATGTCTTACTCTGGCCTCATATGTATGAAGGGTTATCCTAGAGTGATTACTTCCAATATGGCATCAGGACCACTGGCCCTTAGCCAGAAAATTGTTATTAAATCATATGATACCATTGTCATTTTGGGGTCTTCAATTGATCTGAGGAATTCTAGAAGTTTCCAGCCTGGAATATCAAATCTATCACAAGAAACATGATGTGTTTTTCAGGCTAAAATTCAAATGTACCTGCCTAAAATGAGTTTGTCTGTTTTGATTCATCCTCCAAAGATATTACATCAGTATACTTAACTTACACTTTCAGTCATAAATATATTTTCCACTCTACTGCTAACTAACTCTTGTCTTTACGTTAGACAACTGAAAATTTGTTTTAGTCAGCCCAAGAATACATATAATATATGGTTATTCTGTGCTTTATGAATATGGACTATTTATACAAAAACAATTGGTCTTCTCAGTCTCAGTGATTACAAGCCTATTAGATCCACTAAGTCGAAGGCGAATATGGGCTTGTGATCACCTCGCCTTCCGCGACTAATTGTTAAATAGAAACTTATATAAGCATTGAAAAATATCTTAGGGTAATATCACTGTTTTAACTACAATTCCCCCTGGTTGATACTGAGTGCAATAAAGTTCTAAACCTCCAAGCTAGAAAAGCATAATGTGAATTTGGTTAGGGTCACTGATTACCAGAATATTTGCAGTTTTAATCTTGGCTAGACATAACAATCAGGTTTTGTTGCGAATAGATTAAAATAATACTCCAGAAATCACTAATCATTTGGGCAAAGTAGCAGGTATTGTATTGTAATGGGTTAAACGTTTGCAAGCTTCAATTGTTGTGTTTCTTTATATCCTAGACTGAAATTCAAGAGAAGTACAAAGAGCTGACGAAGAGGGTACGGAAGACCCGAAGTGTTTCCGAGATCATTGAAGACGCTCTTACCTTGCACGCGGAGAAGCAGAATACGCCACCCAAAATCAGAAAACTTGGAAAACAGCGACCGAGTGCTTTTTCAATTTTCTGCAAAGCAAAGCGATCAGGTCTTGTTGAAAAATATCCTGATTTGAAATTTATGGATGTTCATAAAAGACTTTGCCAAAGGTGGAAGGATCTTTCTGAAGACAAGAGAAAGATTTATATTGAAAAGGCGGAAGTAGCTCGGATAGAATATGATGAAGAAATGAGGAAGTTCAATGAGAAAAGAATCTCTGCACTTAAGAAACCAATGTCGGCGTATGACCTATGGAAGATGGAGCGTTTACAGGACGACAGCTTTGAGGGAGATGAGACCGAGAGTGATTTTTTGTTAGAATGGGAAAACCTGCCTAAGTCGAATAAAAATGGTTGGGTTCGCACCGCGGCGTTTGAGCAAGAGAAATACGATTCGAAAGTAAGGAGCATAGCGGGTGGATTTCGCCGACAGGGAAAAGCTGGGAAAATTAATGAGGATAAAAAAGATGCTTCTGAAACAAAAACAAAGGAAGAATCCACGTCAGATGATCTGCACCAACAAAGTTCCTCATCACCTGATAACTCCAGGCTGAAGAGAAAAAGTGATAATTCAGAGCCAGCTGTGAAGGCCCCTGTTAAAAAAGTCAGCAAGAATGACTCCAGTAGTGGTTCGGAGAGTAGTGATTCGGACAGTAGTGATTCGGACAGTAGTGAATCGGACAGTAGTGAATCGGACAGTAGTTAAGAACCCGTGATAAGTGCGGTACTTTTAAATCTAAAAAATTCATATTTTTTACAGCTTGTGCTAGCAAAATAGGGCAAATATGCAGATTGAGATTTTTTTTGTATCATGATTTCATTTTTTCTTAGGAATCGGCGCAAGTGACGTGTTAGTTCAACTGAGACTGTGCTTCAAAGTATCAATATGACATTGGAATCAAAAGAAAGTTAAAAATTCTTTTTAATGGTTCTGTAGCGTCTATTCGGACTTTCCAACTATTCTTAACCTACTACGTAGCTTGTTTTGTTTTTTAATCATTTTCTAGTGATGCCTGATGGGAAGTTGTGTTGTAATGTTAACATAGACATTAATATACGTATAATACATACACGTATATTCACATGTAAACATGTATACTCTATTATTCTCAACTAAAAACCACACATTGGTCTTATTTAAGCTTGTGCTAGTATATATAATTATAGTCATGGTGCAACTTCTAAATAACTCCTTTAGTTTTGTTCGCCTTGATGGGTTCCTGCTAATTTCCTCGTTACCTTGAAATTTCGGCTCTGTAAGAATATCCCTAGACAAAAAAATGATTAAAAAAAAATCCACTGTTCTCTAGTTTAAATGTATTTATTATTAAATAATAAAGGAAGTTAATGTTATACGGGTCTTCGTATCGTAGTGTCGCGGGTCCTAGAACGCTTGTCCGGTCGGCTACTTGCCCCCTCCGGTGAGTACAAATATGAGCCCAGTTTGCCTGATCGAGTTGTTAGTTGCTTGCGTGACCCATCCCGCCCCTTTCCCTAACGACTTCACGCGATGTTGTGAACTCTACGGGAGAAGCGTCTTATTAATCTCGCTGGGGTTTGTTTTTTTTTTGTTAGTTTGTTTTGCAGGATTAAGCACAGTTCTTTTCACACCCGTTTTGGTCGTGGAATGGGTGTTTGGGGTAAAGGTAAATTCATTAATGATCGCCACATTTACAGGTTTTTTTTTTTGTTTTGTGTGTGTGTGTACTTTGATGTTCGTATCGTTTATTCCACGGTTTCACTTCAGTGACTCACGTGTGACAGTTGATCACGGGATGGAGGAGGTACCGTTAAAATAGCATGGTTCGTTGAGTTATTATCTGCGCCGAAAACAGCAAACTCAAAAGAAACACCGTTTCACCCCTAGCCCGACCGTTTCGCTCGGATACCGTCTCCATCCCTACCGATCGGCAGCGGGCAAAAATATAGTGTAAGAGCTGGTGTGCTATCGTACTGATGTGAGCCTTAGGATCCGTTAGAACGTTAACGGAACATGATAATTTTCACCTATCCTCTCGCGTTCAGAGATCAGTAAAAGCCCTGCACAGCACGAAGGAGTGAGAAGCCAAATTACATTGTTCGTGCTAAACTTTCATTGTGATAGGTTGGTTGAGACTTAAATTCGCTCGGCCATAGCGCGAGGCTTTTCATTGAGGCGCAAACCTTCCTGGCCCTAGAAGGTAACGTAATTATTTTTCGTAAGCAGCCCACAGATGTATTGAATATAAACATAATGTTAGGAATCCCAAGGCCAGAGCTGGGTGTGGCTAATGGACAATTTGCGCCTTAGGCGAATTTCTTACCTCGGCTTTAAAAAGGACATTTTCTGAAAAAGCATACTAAAGTTAGTAAAAATGCCAAGTTTGGCTGGAAATTGTTGTAAATTACGGAAGATATAGCCATGCGAAGTTGTCGATTTTGTATACTTTTGTATTACGACCGGAAGTGTGTAAATTAGTTACACATTTCCGCACGTATAAATACAAAAGTATACAAAATTTGCAACTTCGCATGGCTATATTTTCCGTATTTTACAAGATTTCGCAGCCAAACTTTGCATTTGCACTAATTTAAGTACGCTCTTTTTAGCTGTGGTTATTTATTTTCTTCTTATTACTTCGATCAAAAGTTAGTCTAAAGCGCAAGTGGTCCATTAAAAGAATATCCGGTAGTAATGTGGAAGCATCAAACATTGGTATTGTCAATAAGTTATCATGTATTTGTTCCTCAGTGTATTGTTCAAGTTTCTGGTTCAACATGGATTCCAATTTTCGGTCCGATTTTATCAAAAGTCGTGGGAAAAACGAAATCGGTGACTCGGAAAAACTACGTGTGTTGACGCTCAATTGCTGGTAAGACGTTTTGGTCCTGTTTTTAAAAATGAATAGGGAGGAAGAATACTATTTATATGATTTCATAATTTTTCATATACATTGTTTGTGCCTGTAGAACGGAAATATACATGCACATTCCCCTTCTGTTTTCACTTGGATTTTAATGATTTTTAAAAAAAACAAATATCTGTTGAAGTGGGCTGTCGTTCTTTGCCCGACAAAAGGCTGTGGTTATGCAAAGTAGGCCCATGCTCTAATATAAACGGACTGATGCATACAGTAGTGCAAGGCCTAGAAGGCTACAACACTGCAAGGTGTCACCATGTTTACCTTTGTGTATAAAGTGACACTTTGCTGGGAATCAATAGTTTTTTTGGAGAAATTGTTCAGGTATATAAATGCAATGGAAATGTGAAAATGGAATGTGAATTTCTGTCAGTAATCATTAGCTTATTGATGGTTGTTGTTGGTTGTTGTCAGATTTTAGCTGGATCCCATTGTTTTGTAACAATTGTTTCATAGTTGTTCCTTTGCATAATATATGTGAACCTATGTATGTGCTAGTTATGGTTGAGATTAGTGTGTCAATATCAATGCAGACCTAAAACAGTGAGTGAAATGAGTGGATGGTGTCAGATTGTCTAGTGACAGGGGCTCCTAACAAAAATAGTGTTACCTTAATATAACAATAACACATCAAGGGCCAGTTGTGTACAGTATGTTGCTATCCACTGCATTGTAATTTTATGCAACCATTTTAACATGCTTGAAGAGCAATGAAATTGCAGATTTGGAGCTAATAGTTATAAAAAGATTCCCCAATTAAAGCATTTATTTAAAGCATAGGTTTAGGCAAAATAACTATCTGGTGAATAGCACTGTCTGGATTTTGTACAACCACCCCCAAGAATTGTGCTATGAACACAGACAGATCTAGGCAGCTGCTTTGGAGATAATCATCTCAATAATGTAATAGAACAACAAAATATGCACATAGAGATTGCACATGTAAGGGAAAATAATGTTTTTAAAGCAGTGTATACAATACTAATGGTTCTTGTTTTTCTGTAGCTCATAAGATCTATGTCTACTTGAGTTTTTTACTAGTTGCAAAAAAACTCTTTTCAACTTTAGAGTTTAGAACTATCCAATAGACCTTTCCCCTTTTAGCTTTCAAGCATGCAATGTGTGATGGTAGTTAATTGGAAATATAGATACTGTATTGGTTATTTATTTACTTTTCTTCTTTCTTTATCAGGGGCATTCCTTACTTATCAAAAGTGAAGAAAGAACGATTTGATGCCATTGGTCAAGAATTGAAAAAAGGAAATTATGACATTGTTTCACTTCAGGAGGTAAACTGCGCATTTAAAAGTATTGTAAATTGCACATACAAAGATAAATTTAACTACAACACAGGAACATAGATTAAATATCATTTAGGACCAAACCTGAAATGTTTTAATAATGCAGCTTAGGTTTTCCAACAGAAATTTGATACTGATACCTCTGTGACTCTTATTAATATATGCACACCTATTAACCAACTAACAGTTTTAGCACAAGTTTTGTAGTATGTATCTACCTAACATGCTTGCATTTTGTTATTGGCTTTTTGTAACAATAGTCAACAGTGTAGATTCATTCTTTTGAGAGAAGTACAATCTGTAATTATGAGAAGATGATGGATCATAGAAGTTCACTTTACTAAAATGTGTGTAGGGCAACTTTTCCTCAAGGACAGATGTAAAACAGGAGTACCATAATTTCTTTGTTAATTATGTTGAAATTATGCATTCTAGTTAAAATTTGCATTTGCCATGTTTTTCATACTTGTTGATTGCCCTGACGTAGCTGTTTTTCTGTTTTTATAGCAGTTCTTAGGCTTAGTTTGGTTTTATAGGTTTGGGATAAAAAAGATTATGAAACCTTGAGGGCTGTTTTGGAGAAAATTTTTCCTTATTCATATTATTTCTTTGGGTAAGATTTTCTCACAATATCACTTTATTATTCAATACATTAATTTTTTTTAACAATTTCTAAATGAGATATCAAATACACACAGTACTAGAACTCAATTTTTATTCTCATTAAACACTTTTTATTTCTACGGTATACTGTATTGTATTGTTTATTTCGTAAGTGCTATTCTGACGGATTTCAACTTTTCCATGTACTGTATGTACCTGAAATTAGAAAGTTGCATGAATAAAGATACATTGACTTCTCTAATTGTAGCGGTGTTTATGGAACAGGGATTTGTATATTTTCGCGGTATCCTATACTCAAAACATTTGCCTATCCTTTTGCTGTGAGTGGCTATCCTTATGCAATCGCTCATGGAGATTGGTTTGGTGGAAAAGGCGCTTGTTTTGCTTTGATTGATCATCCAAAAATGAAAATACACTTCTTTACTTCGCACGTAAGTATTAGTGCTCGTTTTTCAGCCCTGGATGCAGAAGGTATCCTATTCTGAATACCTAGTTTGAGAACATTATGAGCGTTCAACCTTTTGAGATGACTCTATCTCTGTTTACTCAGTTATCGTATATACTTTAATCTTTATCTATATACGTACTATCATTGGCAGCCTTTTCAATATTCGAAGAATTTTACATATAGTATATAATACTGACATTCGGCTTAAAGATATTAATTCTAACACTAACCAAAATGGGGTTAATAACGTCTCAAATAGAACTTATGCAGCCAGCTTTATTATAATGATGACTGAGTGACAAATCCCTGTACTATGTATAGTCCACTACCATGGCCGTTTTATTTTTGACAGTGTAAATTTCCCAAAAAGCACTAACACATTCTCTCGCATATTGTGCCGGCGTAACACGATCTGGAACAATAAAATTTTAAAAGTATAAAACATACTCCAAAGACCAACCATGTTACACGATGCAATTTTTCTTGTAACTTGCAATGTATGTAAATTACTGGCGATTTTTCAAAAAAATTGTATACAGGACCGAAGCTAGAACGATAATTGGGAGGGGGGGGGGGTGTTTATTCATATGTTCAGTTCTGCCCGACAGATTTCTTTTGTAAGCTATTTCATCGTGTCACGTGCTTAGATGGTGTCTTTGAAGTTTGAGATGCGATTATTACAATATTTCCCAAACTTTAGCAAGGAAAAGGAAAAAGAAAAACCATCGGCTTAATTTAGCCCCGTTTACATTACATTCAGTGGCCAGTTGTATAAAAGACTAATTAACTTTTAAATGTAGTTAAGGACAGAATTTGCCAATCAGAGTCGCCCGCACCAATTTACTCAGCGCCCGGCCTTTGTCTTGGTAGCCTGAACACTAATAAAACTAAACACATATCAACCAATATCAACCTCAGGTTACCTCGTACCCAGGGTTTTATTACTGTGCCTACGCTCCACGGCCAAGCATAGGTACGATAGGCACAGATATCAATTTTAGCAGTGTCGTGCAAATAAATTGGGTGTAGTATAAACGGGGCTTTTCATTGTAGTTTAGCACTTATATGTGGTATTTGATTATTTGTGAATATTATTTTAGTTACACGCAGAGTATGACCGTAACAATGACGTATACCTATCCCATCGTGTTGTGCAAGCGTATCATCTCTCCAAACTGATTGGTCAAATCACCGATCCTGAGGATTTTGTTTTATTATGTGTATGAACACAGAGCCCGAGGATCCATGTTATCGCATACTGAAAGAATTACCTCAGCTTAGTGATTGCTGGTTGGAAGGTGGGTCGAAGGTAGGATGCTTTATTCAGATTCATGTTAACAATATAACGTCGGCTTATAAGTGTAATAAAACATAAAATTGCTTTATCGCGCGCAACATTTAGATATAATATATTTTTTCAGATCACACAGGATCAATCTCGAATTTGAGTGCAGTTTGGAATTCGTCCGGGCTGCACTGCAAAGCATTTTAAAAATCACTCCGTTATCATTCATATTTCTAGTCCAATTGCTATGGTAATACGTCAGACAGAAGTGAGAACATGTTTACATCAGAGAAATACGACAAGCACAAAGTCGGAGGTCCTGAGGATGGCAAGCGTATAGATTACATTTTCTACAGGTCGTTGGATCAGAGATGGGAGTGTGACAGTGCAAACGTGACGATGAGCAAAGTCCCTGGGGCTGAATTTCCATTCTCAGATCATGATGGTGTGGAGGCCAGTTTTGTGTTCAATCAAAAAACGTCGGAAACGCCAGGTATGGATACAATTGCCTCGTTTTGTTATGTCGTATATTTGGTTTGTAGAGAATACTATTTAGGTCAGCAACAAGGTATATCTTTGCTATTTGTTCTCAAAATATTTGTTAATTAACCCAGGCACTGCATGTGGTAGAATTTGTTAGAAATGCGAGGTTGAATTTCTGATATACGGAAATTTTTCCAATTACGCTTTTTGAAATGATTCTTGAACATTCGTGTGCTCTCCATGAGCCATCGTTTTGACTATTCAGTATATTCTATTAATTATACTTTCAGACTTCCCAAGCGACAGTGAAACAGTCATATCTGTTCTTTCAGAAGCTACGACTTTAATCAAAACTGAGCTGAAACATATTAACAAACACTTCTATAAAAAATGCATTGCTATCATCCTACTTATCGCTTTTATATTGTTACCAGTCTTCCTGCCGGCGAAGGAGGGCTCTTGGTTCCTCGCCAGTGAACCGTTAGGAAGAATTGTGTATATTTACGCATAGTACTGACCGTTTTTGTGTGCGGGTTTACTTGGTTATTTTTAATCACACGAAGCCATGAACGACACGTTTACGAGAGTGTGCTGCGTGAGATTAACCTAGAATTGCAACATGATCATACTTCATATAGGCTAAAATGAATATCTCCTGCATGGGCATAGATCCCTGTTTTATGGTGAAAAATGATTTTATTAAGAAAATATTTCCAATAAATATGTCAATCTTGTATGTTAATGTATAAATGTTCGTAACTTAGCTACGTTCGTAACTAACTTCTGCTGTCTTACAACACCCAAAGCGGAACTTAAATTTGTATATAATCAAGGGTGAATGATTTTATTTAGATTATTTACAATTTTAAAGCTATTAATAAAAACTCAACTATGTTATTTTATGTCGGTCACATCACTTTTTGTAAAAGTTGCATTGTCATCCATATTTCATTTCTTCGATGTTTTCCATTCTTTACATGTGAAAACTTCATGTTGTTATAATTTTTAAACTCATTTGAGAAATTTGAAAGTACCCCCAAAAACGCCATCGCGAGAAAGGCTAATCAGATAGACTTATCAGACTAGACTTTAAATTTCTTCTTGGAGCGCTGATATTTTCAATTCATTAATTCATTTTTATTCATTTCTATAAACTTACTGCATACTACAAAAACAATATATACACAAGCAAATGACAAAAGATCTCCAAATGGCCCAACAATGTGAATTACCCAGGCGAAGTATAATATACAATCATTAAAGAATATATACTGTTATAAACAGCCATCTTAATATTCGATGGTAAAGATCTTTGAGTTTTCTGCCAGCATTAAAACTCACATTACCTACTAAAGGCCTACCCAATTTTACCTTTTTGAATTTCGTTGCAAAACGATAATATTCAGGTCCAGAATTTAAACTTTGTTCTGCCTCTCGCTGACCTGGTTCGGATTGACTTCTTTCCCTTAGTCGAAGTCAAATCTGAACCTCGCTAATAAATGTTTCCTGGCTACATTAAATTAATACCGTAGCTAATGTTTCTCGCGCGAACCAGGGGTGGGAAGCTCCCCCTTGCTTTTACCCAACCATGAAATCTGCTTTGTGCAACGCTAGAAGTGCTGCCAACGAGATTCAAGAAAAGCTAAGTTACACAGAGTCACAGACGGTGTTTTGCAAATATCTGGTATGCGGCAGTACAGCAGTACGCTTTCGCAAAAATCTTCCCCTCCTGCCTTTGCATCGTTCCGGCTTCCCTGATTACAATGATAGTCCTCAAAACATTTCATTATATAGAAACAGCCTTTAGTCTAAAATAGAATTGGATGGGACTAGAGGGACTTCCTATGTGAGCGACGCAGAATTTCGTTGATAGAAGCGCATTCTTCTAAGACATACTGGCTAATATAGATCTACTGTATGCGATTTTTACTTTCCACAGTTTGCCTTAGCAAGATACTGAATCTCACTGTCGGAAAGAGCGTAGTTATACATTAAAAATTCGTCTGTGGCGCCATTCAGGTACTCCTTTTCGTAAAAATGGCGACCAATACCGGCAAAATGTCCCCAATCCTGGGATAAGAGTCCCGTGCCGGATTTTTCTTTAATTAATTTCCCACCAGTGTAAACCTTGGCGAGCATTGACGTTGAGTCATATGTTGCAGTCACGTGTGTCCAATTTCGCGCGGGAATTATGGGTATAGTCTCTATTCTAAAAATAGATTTGCCTTTCTCGTCATTGTGCGACCAGATAACTTTGCCGTTGTCAATAGCAAAATTGTACTGATCGTCTTTATGCTCAGAACGACTGCCAATGGTGTTGAAAAGCTGGTGGTGACCCCTATGAAGCAAATGGACAGAATGAGGTTTTCTCTCAAAATTCACAACAGATAAAATACATAATGACCTGTGAATCAATGGTTCATACACATTTATAATTATAGAAAATAAAAAAACACCCTCAAAGGTATTTTACTCTTGCTGTGTCAATTGCTACGAAATTTCGCTACAACACTTCGCTTCAACAGTTAGACTCTACGAAAACCAATTCAGAACGAATTCAGATATATCTAGCCAAAAACAAATATACCATTCTAGATTCCTCTATAAAAAGAAGAATTTACATCTATTTATATAATATAGATTTATCGGAACGCCTGAGGGAAAGATTTGAGAGAAAACCACAAAAAATTGCAAGTTAGTTTAAAATAAAGTAAGAAAGGTTTAGTGGAAAGGTTATGATTCATTATAAGTCAACCTACTTAGTCACTCCAACACTGAACTGACTAATATGTGCATGCAATAGACCTCATCTTAATAATTACCTGTTTGTATTTAACTTCATCCATGTAGCTAACGTGATTGCGTTCAAAGGTTTCCCTTTGAACCGCTGACCATCGATGTCGATCTCACCGTGACTCATGTTCATACCCAGTCCACAAATACCTGGCATATCCGAAAGAGTTAAATTTACCAGTTTGCCATTATTGCCTAGCCCCGACTGGTCCAGGGTGAAAAGTCCTTGGCCTTTCTCAAATCCAAAATGCAGTACAACTCGATGCGAGTTACACGTTTGGCTGAGAGACTGAATCTCAGCGGCAGGCAGTGCTTTGCCAAAAATGTAAAATTCGTCGATAATACCAAGTAGTGGTTGACTTTCGATCCATTGACCGCTGTCCGACATGTCATACAGTTTACCAATCACGACTTTGCCACTCCAGTCCTGTAAATAGTTTTAAAAAATGTAATTATATGTGGACTTATTAAGGGTCGCTAGTACCTATGAAACAAGATATGATATAGATTTCCGATGGTCTATTTATATACAACTGGATGTTCAGAGCGATACCATATTTCTTCACTAGACTGACCCTTTCTCTTAAACAAACCGTCTTATAGCTTATGGACATTTCCTAGCGAACTATATTTACTTATACTCCAGTTTTCGTACCTGTGATAAAGCTCCACCCCCAAGACTGGTTTGGGAATTCTTCAGCTGACCATTGATATATATCTCAGCTTTACGAGTCCTGACATCGTACGTCGCACAGACATGTGTCCATACACCGGGCTGAATAATTGCTTCTTTAGTTTCAACGCTAAAAATTGTCTGAAACAAAAACCCATTTAAGCATTACTATGCAATCGTATGGTATCGAATTAAAAGAAAAATCTCTAAAACAGGGTAAACAAGTGTAAATACTCCAGAGGAATAAGCCCAACACTTTGAAAAAGGTGAAATTTTTACCACTGAAGTTCCAATAATACGTTTGTGCGTGGTGTATTTTCGAGAGATTATTTTTATAGCTTTATACTTCTTATATTTTTTATTTGTTATTATATGGTCACTGCAAGGTTTTTTTCTTTGCAGGATCATGAGACCTGAAAATGTGATTGCATTTAAGAGTGTTTAATACAACTTACTTGTGACATTGTGTTTCTATGAAACCATCTGACGGACCCTGCATTGATTTGGAAATGATATTGACCGTGTTTATTTCCAGGATTCTTAGGATTCGTAGTCATGAATATTTCTTGATCCCCTTGGATGTTGTCTAGCTTCAACCATAACATGACGGTGATACCGAACAATGGACGCCGTATCATCGCTGATCCCTTTATGCTTATGTCACCTTGACAAAAAATATTTTAATTAATTTCAAAGTTCACTGATAAAATGTTTTTAAAAGTAAAGAGACTAGATGTTGTGGTACCATTACAATTTAGAAGTTGAGACATTCTTATACGCCGAGGCATTAAAATAATTTTCAATATATAATTATCTAATACGATTTTGTGGCACTTCACTCGATGTAGGTAAATTCTAAAGGTTTTTTAGGGGGCTTAATTTCGAGTTGAATTATACACAACTCAATTGAAGCCAAGAACAGTTGAGAAAAATTAGTCATCGTATAAGCTAGGTTCGATTCCTGCCGGACGACCAGTTGACCAATTCTTCTTAACTGTTCCTGGCTTGAATTGAGTTGTGTGTGATTCCACTCTCTTTAATGCGTTCATCGCATGAATATTGAACGACATTTAATTTGACCCTGATCAACCTGTGCTAAATAGCATACCTTGGTTTAAGCGAAGTCCACTACCACAATTCCCACTTGCTTTTGTGACCTGCGCTAGACTGCTAACTGAAGCATCGATGCTATTACCAGAATCATCAAACACAATATTACCAGATTGCCTTTCAAAACTATAGTACACCAATTGGAAACCTTTGCTGCCTAAAAATTGAAAGTTAAGCTTGATTGATGTTCTGGTACTGTAAACTACGGAAATATCCCAAAAACGTGGTTAATGTTATCATATGTTAAAATTATAATTATAAAAATATTAATGTTAAAATTTCATAGTTAATGACCTGCAGCGACCTCCACATTTCGAGCACGTTGGTTTCACTTCTCAGACTTACCTCCACTATTCCCACCAAAGTTACATTTACCAAACAGGTTTTTAACTTCAAATGGCGTTAGTGCGCGATTGTACGCCATTATCTCATCAATATACAGCATATCCCCGGCTAACCCCGTGTGCATCCCAAAACCTGCTTGTCCGTCCCAGTCCTCTGAGAGTGATCCCGTCCCAGGAGCTTCCTTGACCAATACCCCATTGATATATATCCCTGCTTTGCTGCTTGTTGAAGAGTACGTCGCTGCGAAGTGAACCCAGTTTCCTGTCAGCATAAGGAAGTAATGATTAAGTATATAAACTTAATTGTACACGTCATACCACACAACTTAACGACAAATTGCATGACCTTGTCTCCAATTTGAAAACAAATATCGTATGGGAAGCAATATTCATACTAACGTGGCAATATCATGGCTCCTGACTTCACTTCAAACACAATTTGATCATATTCATTTCGATGTCTCCATAAAACGGACCCATCATTCACACTTAGTTCATACTGGTTCTTCGAATGCATAGAATGTCCTCCAATGGTCTCAAACAGTGTATGTCTGCCTTCAACGGTCGTAAAGTTCGCCCAGAGGGCAATAGTAACAGCGTCTGTTGGCTTGTTTCGAATAGTCTTACCATCCAGTTTGATAATTCCTGTGTTACTTGGAACCTTTAAGCCCATACCACAGGTACCATTGACAGCTAAGGGAATTGATAAACAGAAAAAAAAAGAATCTTGAGTTCGTCTTGTTTCCATAGATAGTACCTCCTAATTAGACTGTCGTGGCTTTTAAATATTTTTAGCATATTAATTTTAGGGTTGGGCGCCACAAACTCCCGGTCCTTAGGGCAATTTTGGGGGGCTTTACTCAGACACTGTCTTCCTAAATTTTTCTCTTGCGCTTTAAATATTCCGGGAGTCTTGTCAGCCTGGGGTCGGAAAATATTGAACTCTTTGCTCCGCCCCCTGAGATGAGAGGTTCTGGGCCAAAATATAGGCGCTCCAAGCTGGTATGATCCCATTATACAGGGTCAGTGTATTGTAGGGAAGCGTGTTTATTGGTAATAAAAAGATTACAGTAGATTAGTTATTCGTTAAATCTTGCCTAGTTTAACTAGACTTTGCAAAAACGATTTACATACTGTACCTAATGAGGGCATCAGAGGGGTGATACCCATGATAGAAGCATCGTTTTTCAGTCCAGACGTGTCCAACGAAACATTTCCCATATCTTTCTCAAACGCTAGATGAAGTATGACGCTGCTTTTCGCTCCACTGCATTTTGACATGAGGTTCTTAATTTCCATTTCTTTTAACGTTTTATTGAAAATATAGAATTCATCGATATATCCACGCAAGTCTTTCTCTCCTTCCTCAGAACCGATACCTAAATCCCAAATGTTCTAGAACCTTACATTTTTCTAATAATCATTTGCATTTAATTCGGACAATTAATAAAATAATCACAAACTAATTGCCTAGTTAATAAGAAGAGCGTTATTCGTCATATGAATGACAAAATACACTTCATGATCATGCAACTTGAGGGGACAATGTTCATGAAATTCTTTGTTATGCCTGTGTGATTAAATAGTAAATAAGGAGCCACATTTTAAGTCACTGGTGAATGGCAGTGTTGAGTTCCCCCTTAAGACATTGTCGTTCAAAGCTATATATATATACTAAGCGATGTTTTCTTCTGTTAAGTCAGTGTTTGTAAGATGGAATCTATTCAACGAGAATTCTGTTTACTAATAATATTTATTGCTACCAATTAACCACAGTGGAAGTACTTACCAACGTATTTCTCCCAATCAGTAGATAATGGTACGCCCGGGTCCTTGACAACTTCTTTCGTTAGTGCACCATTAATAAATACCTGAGCGGTTCCTGTTACTACAGTATATGTCACTAAAACATGATTCCAGGCACCTGCGGTCAGTACTGGCTCATCCGTAGCAACACTGAACAATGTGTTTCCCAATGAATTGCGATGAAACCAAATTAATTTCCCATCTTGAACTTCCAAACGGTATTGCACTAGAGGAATGATTATAGTGTAATATGCACAGAGAAATAAGAGATCAGAGATGTCAAGCTGTGGCGGGGGGACAGCGGAGCTAGAAGTTAATGTGAGGGGCGAGGTTCCAAAATTACCTGCAGAATTATTATATGAACAAGTAAAAAATTTCGAATAAAATTTTGAATACGAACTTCGCTGGCAGACTGTGTTCTCTGTGAGCTGTACGTCAACCCCCTATAAAAAATGTTCTCCGCCCCTACTTTTGGTTGGTAATCATCACAAAGCAAGTAAAAATTGATGCAGTTTTTAATACAAGATGAGAAAGACATCAATACAAAACAAATATTACTCCGAGAAAGAAGATATCGTATGACTGAATTCACTTCGACAGTGTGGCTGTGTGGCTCAATCACATTGCGTAGTAAATTCATTAATTCGAATTTTGCGACTCAAATACACCACTCAGCTAATATCGCTTATTTAATACAATCTAAAATCGTCTTAATACTTCCGCGTAAAATTCTGTCTTTGTAAAACAAAAAAGTGGTCCGTTTGACATGACAAGTGACTATCATGCTTACTCATTTTAGTTCTTCATCTACTCACGTTTTTGGTGCTTAGAATGACCACCAATGGTTTCAAACAGATGCAATAATCCATTAACTCGTAACAACTTGATCATGAATGCTATTGTAACTTCTGACTGAGGAATTCCTCGAAACCCTTTGCCTTGTATATTAATGTTTCCACCTAAAAGCTGAGCACATACTCCACAACTTCCTTCAACCTTGGTAACCGTTGCACCATGATTTAATGTTGCATTATTGTTCTCCATAGAATTGTCTAAAATATGACTTCCGATGTAGCGGTCAAAGCCTAGGTACAGAACGCAGTCTTTGTTGCCTGAAATAAAATAAGTATAATTTTAAATGAATTGGATCAACAATAATAATAATGATTTACGATTTCCTAAACGATAATTCAATAGTTTTTGTCTTCACTAGGCAGAATTTTTTTGCATAACGTGTTAAGGAGGCTAACTATTGATGCAATATGGAAACCGAAATATAAGCTCTTCTATACACTGTCCGAGCACGTTTAGAGAGTTTGGAAGGATATTAATTGAAAAATAGAGAGAGGCTGTCATGATATATTAACTAAAAGACATGAACGTAAATGTTATTAGGGGGGGGGGTGGGGTTGAATTTGTTTGAAAAAGTTGAACCGTAAAGCATCTATGGACTGTTTGGAGGGACAGGAAATATAAGTCTGAAATAATTTGTCCCTCCAAACAGTCCATAGATGCTTTGCGGTTCGCGGCTAGACCTAGTACCCTGCTCGATTGGGAAATGGCTAATTTAGCATTTAGCAAAGCATCGAGCCTGAAACAACAGCAGAAAGGTTGCGTCTCGGTGCACAAGATCGTGAGAGAATTGACTATTTAGAAGTGGAGGAAAGCACAATATTTTCGCCCTTTCCCGGAAAATTGTCTGTATGTAGGGGGGGGGGGGAATATCTCCTATCTAAACCCCTCTCCCCGCGGATGTGTTAACGACTTAAACGCTGTTGAACTGCGAATGAGTTAAACCTAAATCATTTGAGCAACTTAAACTGGATAGTGTTAGCTAATCAAACAAACCAAAATATAACGTACCGTTGAGTCCAGCTCGTGACAAACAAAAGAGCGTTGAAAATACTAAAAATAATTTGTCCATCTCTCAGGCTATCTTTTATCAACCTTATCTAATAAGAAACAAAGACGAGCTAAGAGTTGGATAACAAATCTAATACACACAGTGTGTGACAAGAGAAAATGAAAGTGTTTGAAGGACAGAATATCTGGATACTTAATTTCCAATTATCTAAAGAAAACTCAAATAGCTAGTTATATTTATTCAGCCATATAGGGTACAATGAAACAAATTCTGGTTAAAAAAAGGTTTCAATAACAGATCTGACTCAATTAGTATACACTTTCGCTCTTCATGTTTAGACGAACATGACAAATAGTCAATACCTCAACAGTTAATAAATTGCGAGGTAATGTAGTAACAAATGACAATTGTAGCCAAATAATTATCAATATAAAGTTATTCATGTAAAATATGTATTCATCCACTTCGGCCATCAACGACTGCCAAAATCAAACATGTTTGATAGCCAGTTTTATCTTTCTGAAATAAACTCTAGCCTGCGTTAAAGCGCTGTATAGTATATACTTCGTACTCTACTGACCTTTAATCTAATACTTAATGCAATACAATGTCACTAAATCTTTTGAACATTCGGCTATTTCGGATCCAGCATATGCTATGTCTATAATCATTCATTTCCTTCCGTTTCATGCATTTAATTTAAACATTATAAGAAACTGAAGAACACCGCAACAAAATGTACAAGTCTGAAATAATTGTTAAGCATGAAACTGCTAAAGTCTTACAATACGACGTGCACTCATTTATTAGTAATTACCCTTAATTACAAATGATGAGCAATCAATGTTTTGCACTTACAATTTTGGCACTTTGTTGAATATCCGATTAAACAATTCCTTCCAATTTTCATAACCACTGATAAATAGGCAACATATCAGAATTTTTCATCTGTGTCGAGTATAACGAACCAGCATCACTTCAGATTATCATCTTGCTCACGCCGGCTCATGTTGTTTCCAGTCCAAATCCACCTGCAGTGAATACAAGTCCGACAATGAATCCTCGAAATATATCCTAAAGATTGTGTATAAAACGGTTGATAAATGTCTTCAGAAGTACAAATTCGATAAAGTAATCCCCAATTCGAATAATTTTAAGAGAAGAAATTCTTTGACGATGTTTTCAAAAATTTATTCAAGCGTAACAGGTACCAAAAGTTACGTCAGTTTAAAGCATTTTCAGGTCTTTTTATTTAGTTTAACTGTGTCCATTGATATATTCAAGTTTCTAGTTTCATTATCAAGATATCTATATCGTGAAAATCAGGGGTTTTTGGATTTTGACTGCAAAAGCGAGCCGTGTCGAGGACATTCTGACTGGGGGATGTTCTCCAATTAATAATATAAAGACGAACTTATGTTATTGTCATTGAGATGAATAAACCATGTTTTCATCTCAATGATATTCATCTGAATGTATTACAATAACTTCGAAACTCATGATTTATACTAAGGAAGCCTCTTGACTGATTTTGGATATCATAATTTGTAAATTTAATTTGAAAATGTAATTAAAAGGTCCAAGACAAAATGACAAAAATGAGAGTGTTTTGATCTAGAAAGCATCCCTAAAAGCAAATATTTCCGTTTCAGCAAATGTGCTTGCATGGTTTTCCCGTTGATTTGTATATAAAACGAAATTAACGTTTGAAATACAAATCAAAACACTTAAAAGACATCTTTAGATAAGTAAAATTTATTCTACTTTTAAAGTTTAGGCTATATAATTTAAAAAAATATTCGCTTTTATAATTTGAAGTATTATTTGTGAGTACGTGTTTGAGACCTGCTCGGTTGAATCTGGCAGAGTTGTTGGGATTTAATCGGACGTCGACTCCGATTACTAAACATGGACTAAACATGGACAATAACAACTTTAGCAATCCCTGGGCCGGTTGTTCGAAAGGAGGTTAGCTTAAACGGTGGATAAGCCAAAGTTTGAATATTCTCATAGAACTTGTGAATGACTGAACTTGCATCTTATGCGTTTAATTTGTACTTCCATTGAAAATTAAACTATTTACATCAAAATATTCCAGTCCGGTAGTTCTATAATGGATAATTGTTTTTCATTTTAAACTTATCCACCGTTTAAGCTAAACGCCTTTCGAACAACCGGTCCAGGTCATGATCCTCCGATGGAGATTACTGTTTTTATGGATATTTCGATCAATCCTGGCCCATGCAATGGCCAATTTTTCATAAAATTCCAGTTAAGGCTAGTTTCCATTCAGGAAAATTCTTCTTTGGATCAGACAGGACAGGAAAGTTTCCTTTGTATAAACGCCGCCTGAGAACTCACCGACAAAGGAAATTTTCCTGTCCGTTTCGATCCAAAGGAGATTTTTCCTGAGTGGAAACTAGCCTTTAAAACAACTGGGAACTGGCGGTTTAGCAATCAGCGTAGGCGTAGCTTTGTCAACAACAGTCAACAGTATTCAAATTAGATCTCGAAGTATGAATAATCGTATAAGAATTCAAACGTGTAAAGACACTCCTTTTCACATGACTGGTGAAATTGGGTCTTTGAAATTTTCTACACAAAAAACGAAACAAGCCTTTGCTTATCAAAGACTTTGTTGTTAACTATGATGTTGAATCTTACATCAATCTTTTTCATCGCTTGTGAGTTGTGTAAAAAAGTTAAATATCTTTTCGATTAGTATTTTCTGGTTCAATAGAAGTGATATATTCTAAAGTTTTAAAAGAAACAGTGGTTCAGAAGCACAAAAACTAAAACAGTGGAGTAAAATTTACCCAGGGTTAGCGATAACCTAGCTTTGAACAACCGGCCCCCGAACTAGTCTAATCCTGGCGAATGCGAAGTAAGGCTACGGTGTATAGTTAGTACTGACCTCACGCTCGGCCAATAATCAGTTAATATTTACATAAATTAGAATAAAATATTCTGCTTCAACTTCTTTTTAAAAGGTATACAGTAAAGTTGTTAATGTCATCTAAGTCGTTCCAAAACTTAGTTGCTCGAAATTTAAAAGTCCTTTGCCCAGATCTCGTTTTGAAAAAAGGTATGTTTTTAAATTCATTCATATTGTAGGTTACGCTATCGTGGATACTGATACGGGTAAAAAATCACTGAGGTATATCTTGATGTATCTTTGTGCCATGAATACGATCAAGGCATTTAAACATTGTTAATAAGTCTGCAACTTAATCTTACTGCAAAGTTTGGGACTAATTGTAGTTTTTTTATGTTAAAGTCTGACGTGTTGGCCCATACTGTCATGCATGCAAGCAGTAAAATAATTTACTTAAAGCCAGTGACTCTATATACTTCAAGATTTCTTCATTAAAAAACTCTGTAAATTTGACATAACTTCGACATGCATGTTGATACCAACAACATTATATGTTCATCATATGATAGTACATCAAGATCAAGGACAACACCATGCAAGGTCCTTAGCGGAAGCGACGACATTTAAAGTGACTATATCACTTGTGGGATCTTTACGGATTTGAATAGAGCTTGAAAAATTAGTTTATAAGTTCTACAACCCTTTTTGATATAGTTAAATAGTTTCGGAAATATTTACATCTGAACATGACGATTTGCCTAAATTTCCGTCGTGCTCGGGGGCCTGGAACTCAGGAACCGAGTTCTTGTCAAACATAATATAATCAATTGAATTTTATCTTCCAATAACGTAAAATATTTTGAGAAAAACTCGCCCAGTTGCTACAGCCATACACAACGCACCGTTCCCGCATTTTTTTCTTCAAAAGCGCAAACTATATCGCCAGTGAAACTCTTCATGTTTACATTATAAAAGACGGCGTGTTTGCAAATCATTCCTGAGTCCCGGTCCCCCCAACCGACGTATTTTCGAAACTATTGAATTATTTCAAAAAAGGTTGTAGAACTTATAAACTAATTTTTCAAGCTTTATTCAAATCCGTAAAGATCCCACAAGTGATATAGGCACTTTAAATTTTCACAAAAAAGGGGATAGTTGGCTCTATAGCTTCTATGCGTTGCAGTTATCTTGTTCCAGTTATCAAGTATTTGGTTTTCCCGGGGTATACTCGAAGTCTAATTCACAGCACCAACGTGCGATCTTTAACAGGTTTTGTTTCATCGTTGCTAAAGCTAAGTATGTGATGCGCCTACATTGGACAATTTATGTAACAGGATTCAATGATCGATGCTATCAAAAGCCTTCGAAAGTTCTAATGCCCTTAAAATTTTTTTATCCATTATTTCCAGAATCTTATTGGTTACTTAAAGGCCATGTGGACAAACATTATTTTGTCATAAATGAAGCAGAGAATGCCAGATCAGTTCTGCTGTATTAATACTATTCTGCATATCAAAGTGCAAAAAGGTTCTGCTCTAGGGCGGGCTTTGAGAGGTCTTGGAAGTTATTTCATATTTGAATTTCGCTAATGCTACAAAACGAGTAATTTACATTCAAAGTAAGGAATGTGTCTTTCTCCCAATCTCATTCGGGACACATGAATTTTGATAGGAACTTTCAGAGATAACATGGCACGAGTAAGATTATTGGGATATCATGCCACATTATAGTCATGGGAGTAACTCACAAATGTGTCTTGAATGTGTCCACCGGTTTTTTAATTGACCTCATCTTGAATGACTTGATCAATACGTGTTAATGATGGGTTTAATTCTACGAGTTTGCAAGTCGGTCTAAACGAAAAACAGTGAAGATGTTGGCAGGAAAACACACAGATTACACACTTAATTATTTAATCTCTTCACGACTGAATGAAGGCGAGGCCTGCATGCACACGAGTCAGTATTAAGTGTTGTATTAATTGGTGCAAATTAACAGCTGGAAAAAATCAACCATACTTTAATCTTAACGTTTTCTGCCTGGAAGGAGCCGGCCTTCAATTAAAGCGCCGAGTCCTAGTAACATTTCTGCAGTACACTAGCTAATCGCACAGGACTACTAATAATTCCAGGCGATATACTACATAGAATACAATTCAATAATTAGCGAACGTCGCAATTGTTGCATTTGATTCACATTTGATTTCGAGTTACTAAGAATTTTCATTTGCTTTTAATTTGTTCATATAATAAACAGAATACTACATGGTTGCTTGAAAATACACGTTCGCTGTGCTCACTCGTGAGCAATAAATTTCATATTTCTACGCAACCATATAATATTCTATATTTATTATTTATTTAAAAGAATTCACAGGCTCTGATTGGCTAATAGCCATGTGTGAAATCGTCATGTCTAGGGTGTGACGTCATAACTTGTGATATGACTTTTTTTCTTGCACGTTGCAACGTCTTAACGTGTGATAAATGGTCGTATTTTTAGTCGTGTGTTTAGTTTGAATACCATTTTTCTCGATGGCGTAAAACTCTATATAACACTCATGTTCATATTATAATAAAAGCATTTATATATAACATGCAACATTTAAAGTACGCGCGTGCTGATTGGTCGAGAAGCGTGTTTCTTCTATAACTATATAGAATTTTCCCGCCGAACTTGACAAGCGAAGTAATGTAAATCGAATTATAGTATTTGTACACAATCTTTTTATTGAGTTATATTAAAAAAGAAATATAAAACATTTTTGCTGCGTTCTTTACAGTTATAGAAACACTGGTGAGAGTTTGTGAAAATGTTTTTTATTTCTTAAATATTTAATTACGGAGTTTCTATCGATATGCCGGACCACTGGCAGACAGGTCAAAGCAAAATAATTTTGTCCAAAATATACTATCGTGCCTTTTAAGCATGATAGTCCACTTGGAGAAATATGCAAGTTGGATGGCATTGAGGAGCAAACTCACAAACAAAACATTTTTTGTGGCAAATAATCGGTATGGAGGATTGATCGTGGACAATAGGCATCACCGACGTTGGTGATCTATAAGAACCTGGCTTTATGCCGACGACATTATTAACATATCAATAGAATGTGAATGTACATTCTATACATACATGCATGCATATATATCATATCCTAATAACCAAAATTCCAAACGTACTTGGCGCGGATAATATACCTACGTATTTTTAACTATACTTATTTCCAGCATGGTAAAAGTGTTCATCACGACGATGAG